TGCGTGACGACAAGAGTTTGTTTGTTTGAACCTTTGTTACTAATGAAATACATTACTACTCAGTTCGGTCTATTCTATTAACTGGCGATTTTCCAGTTGGTTTGTAAGGTCATGTGATTAGCTTGCTGTTTTGTAGTACTGTACTTCTGACTTGTGTGTTAAATACATCTTTAGCTTAGGCCTCAACACATTCAAATTTGGATGTTTCGCCGCCTGGACAGTTCGGCCTACAGCCAATCAGGACGTTTCAGCCCCTGGTTCAGGACAATGTGGCCACAATCTTGACTGCTAATTTGCAATTTAGGCTGGTGCTCAGTGTATTCTCCAAGTCAAAACTATAAACTTTTCTATTGGAAAACAAGTTGATCATGAACTTGTGGGAACTTTGCATTAACTTTTGCCAACAGACAAATAAGTGTTCAACGTGCATCAAAAACAATTTCTGACGAAGTCCATCAAACCTTAATTGTAATCAACATGTTATAACATTTCTTCAGTCCCTTTGTGTTCCATAGTACGCACATAGCGTTATGTGACTCCGTGAGCAGTGGATCATAGATTGTAAGAAGACCGTGGCAACCCCCGTCTCTGATGAGGGAAGTTGTATGTTTTACTGGTGATTTGTGACATTGAAGACAGCTAGAGAATGTACCCATATGTAAACATTGCATGGTAGACTTTGTTGTATGTATATTGGATACCCTCATATTTTATGTTACTGGGTGTGGTTTCATTTTCATGCCGGAATGGCTCAGAACATGAAGCAGAGCTGACACAAAGAAAGGCTGGGAGGGGTGATTTTCGTGACAAGGTACAATTTCTTCCGAAATCATTCACAAGATGTACGTCATTGCTTTTTTGTTATTGCTCACCACGATTGGGTGTAATTCCGTCTCCATGGTGATACCCAAACAGTAGCAGGACTTATGGTTCAAGAAGTGCTGTGTTCCCTGGTATTGACAAGGTGATTTCTAACTCAAGCTGACAGCCAACGGTCCGGGGCAGGTCGGGGTCATTTGTGATGTACAACATTTTTCTCGACATTATCTATCCAACGGCCTACGAATATTACAACTTACTTGAAAATAAAAGTCAATGACCAAGTTCTGTATCCTTGCTAGACAGCTTTAAAAAAATGCCTTGTAGTCAATTGCTAGTATACACAAGTTAGGTTTGGTAAGTCACTCAAGCCCCGGTCGTACATTTAGGACCTTTACGCAACCTTACCAACAAAACACCAACCAAGGTCATCTAAAGTTCGGGAGAACTCTGACCCGATTTAGGCTAAGTGTACCTTTCTTTATCAATCAAATCGAATTTGTGTCAAATTTGAGTCATTTTTTTGGTTGTCACAATGTCACATTATTTTTGCTTTGTATCCTGACTGAAATGCTTCTGATTTAGTATGAGCAATGCAGAATGAACACGATATTTACATATGGAGGCTATCTGTATTGATATACTACATTTACTTCTATTCATATAGTACTTTACATACTACTAGTACATATACTATATTACGTATTCGTATCCGTAACGTGTCTCACAAGTTTGGCCCAATTTGTTTTCTATGTGTCTACATAGCCCCATGTCTTGAGTCATCCCAGCATGATAAAATAAAACCAAACCTTGTGCTCATAAATGGCGAGTCTATCCATGCTAAAGAAATTGCCATAGATTTTACGTCAGAGTAGATTCTTTGTCGTCGACCAAGGTCGGCAATATACAGACGCACAAAGATATTCTAAATGATCATTATTGTTGTCATATGCATTTCAGAGAGGATAATTATTACCTATGTATTAATTTTTGTTTGCCTTACCATAGTGCTTAACGATATTGCTCAGTACCAAATGCAGTAATATGTGAACTGGTGTGACCCGATCTCGTTTGTATATTTACGATGTACCATTAAATTGCTTTTGCCTGTCAGAAATCCTGTGACGTCACGCAGATAACGCACGTGACTCCGTAAGCAGTGGATCATAGGTTGCAGAAAGTCTGTGGCGTCCCCCGACTTTGTTGAGAGATGGTTGTAATGTCCTGATGTAAATGGCCTCTTTAATCCCTCGTGCGAAAAAGTCTGAATCTTTGTCCAAGATTCTTTCTTTACCCAATAAGACTTAATGTCCAGGCGATTCAATATGTATATGTTGTGAGACTTCCGAAGTAGTCGAGATAGGTCTTTTATGTTCTAAAAACCTAGCCTTCATGGATCTTTCAGTACTACTATATGTTTCTTTACATGGGTCACTGGACTTCTGTCCTTGACACTGTATATGGTATTAACTACCCCACATTTACTCTCCTTTGGTGTCTTGTCCTTGGGTGAAACCAGTATTCCCGAGAGTTCTATGTGGTCTAAAACAGGTCTTGATCCCGTGTGTGGCAAAAATCCCTCCTGACCCCCTCACTCAGGCCTTACATGTAGGGCACAACAACTAGATCCCTGTTTGTGCCCTTGTTGCTCTGATTCTGGTTAAAGTTTATAGTCTTTTCAGGTTTGGATCTATTAGCATTGTCGAAAGCCTAAGTGGGGTACCTTTCTTAGCGCATTTGAAATGTAAAGTTTCTCCTCTTATAGAACTTTATGGTCAGTAATAATCGTTTCCGCTCTGTGGAATAAGGTGCAGATAACACAGAGTTTATGCCCCAGGGGGTGGTTAGAATGGAGGTTTACATGTAGCTATTGGTCAGTATGCGTGGATTTGTGGTATATCTTAACCTGCTGAGACCCGTCCTGTTTCACTGATGTTAGCGTATCCAAAATGATCCACTGTTCACGGGGCGCCACAGACTTTCTGTCACCAATGGTCCACTGCTCACGGAGTCACGTGTGTTATCTGCTTGACGTCACGGAAGCGATGGATTGTTCATTCCTTGACAAAGACTGGAGTTGTACAGTCGAAAATTTGGGTGAGTCCAATTTTTTTGGTGTTTGCATTACAGTTTAGTCTTGTGCATAATGACTTCTACCATCAAGCTTAAGTTCAACACAGATGAACTTTCAAGATTAGATCCCGCGATGTTTCTTTAGCCACCTTCTCTCATTTTTTTTTAGCATTTCAAGCATGCGACAGCCATTAGTTTATTGCATGGTTCTGTTTTCAACAACAAACTAAGGTAATAATTTATGGATATTATAGTGAATGTTTACTGGTGATTCGTGACATACATTGAAGACCGCGAATATATCCAATATGTAAACATTGTATGGTAGATTTTTTTTGTATGTACACTGGATGCCCTCATATTTTATGTGTACTGGGTGTTGATTTGATTATTTTCATGCCAGAATGGCTTGGAACATGGAGTAGCCACAGAGAAAGACTGGGAGGGGTGTTTTTCGTGACAAAGTACCATTTCTTCCCAAGTCATTCGCAAGTCGTACGTCACTGCTTTTTTGTTATTGCTCACCACGATTGGGTGTGGCTCAATGTTATTTTGTCTCCATGGTGATATCCAAACAGTAGCAGGACTTATGGTTCAAGAAGTGCTGTGTTCCCTGGTATTGACAAGGTGATTTCTAACTCAAGCTGACAGCCAACAGTCCGGGTCAGGTCAGGGTCATTTATGACGTAAAACAATTTGTCTCGACATAACCTATCCAACTGCAAATATAATAAAATAAAAGTCAATAACCAAGTTCTGTATCCTTGCTAGATAGCTTTAAACAACGCTTGTAGTCCGATGTACACAAGTTAGTTCGGTAGGTCACTCATCAAGCCCCAGTCATACATTTAGGACCTTACCGCAACCTTACCCCCGAACACCAGCCGACCAATGTCAGCTAAAGTTCAGGAGCAGTCTAACCAGGTTTAGGCTACGTGTACCTTTCTATATCAATCGAAATTGTGTCAAATTTGGCCATATTTTTCTTGGTTGTTGTCTTTATGTATGACGTCACAATATTTTGCTCTGTATCCTGACTGAACTGCATCTGATTTAATATGACCAATGCAGAAGGCACACGATATTAAAATATGGAGGCGATCTGTGTTGATATACTGTATTCGCAACCGTAACGTGTCTCACAAGTTTTCCGCATTTTGTTTTCTATGTGCTCACATAGCTCCATGTCTTGAGTCATCCCAGCATGAAAACATAAAACCACACCTTGTGCACATGAATGGCGAGGCTATCCATGCTAAAGAAATTGCCATAGATTTTACGTCGTAGTAGATTCTTTGTCGTCGACCAAGGTCGGCAATAAACAGACGCATAGCGATATTTTAAATGATCATTCTTGTTTTTAAATACCGCATAAAACTTATCGATGCCAAATGCATTTCAGAGAGGATAATTTTTACCTATGTATTAATTTTGTCTTCTTTACCATAGTGCTTAACGATATTGCTCAGTACCAAATACAGTAATATGTGAACTGGTGTGACCCGATCTCGTTTGCATATTTACGATGTACCATTAAAAATTGTTTTTTTGCCTGTCAGAAATTTATCTACTCATTCAACTAGAGCAATGATCAGCAAGCAGCATCTCATTCGTACCATGAAGATTATTTGGACATTGGCGACAGGTAAGTGTAACTGATACTTTGTCGTGAGGTTTAACTTACATTTATAAGAAAATCTATATAACCACGGGTATTGGCATCGTCACCAAGTGTGTTACTTTATGATTTTTTAGCCTAATGTATGAATAGGTTGTTTGCAGGAATTTATGTCGTCTTTGAACGTTTAAATAATATTCCGCATTATTTCATGTTATCTTCAGCTGCAAAAATAAGTCGAAAAAGACTCTTAGACAAGCAGCGCTCAGAAAATTGCTGAACCACAAAATTTCATATTCAGACAATTAAATCAAACAATGTTATGCGTAATGCCTTGGGCTGTTGTTGTTTTCTTTATTTATCATTTTATTCGCAACAATGCGATACTAAATAAATTATAATGTACAATGCGATCCATGACACAAGAAAATATAGTCTAATGTATAAATATTTCTATATAAAGTTCTGTTTGTCGTCACCTTGACGATTACTGGACAAGAGACATCACCATGTGGCCCGAGCCTTCCCAAAGTGTGCACCTGCATGGATGGTAACTATGGCAACGGTGGCACCTGCACGGCGTGCACCTGCTCACACGATGGAGAAGCCGTGTTCTCTCGAGGTAATTTTCTGTGACAAGTTTTCTGTTGTTTATAATGTATCGTGGTGGTGGTGGTGGTGTGTGTGTGGTTTGTGTGTGTATAGCATCATTTCCTTTGTCAAAATTACGTTGAAAAAACCGTCACGTTTAGAGTTCTATACGCCACGTTTTTCTTTTTTGGTCAATACGTCACGTATGCCAGGCAAACGTTACGTTTGGCAAAATACGCACGGATACGTTAGTCATACGTCCAGTCGACTCTGCAATTTCCGTGTCAAAATTATGTACTAGGTACTTCAAGCATTTTGACCGTACTATTTTTTGAATGTGTGACAGGGCCTTAACAGGCGACCACAGTAAGGGGCGAGCTTTGTTTTTTTAACCAAACTGAAAATAGTTTTCTCGTCCTTCCAGACTGCACGTATCCCATTGGAATGGAATCTGGCGCCATACCTTATGACAGCATCACTGCATCCTCTACCTGGGGTGTTAATCACGAGTCCTACCGCGGTCGGTTGAACAAAGTTACTGGTGCCGGCGCTTGGGCAGTCAGAACCAACACCATCGGGGAATGGCTACAGGTTGGCAGACATTTTGGTTCAGTAAATACCCACGATTCTACCTGGTACTTCCAGAATGCTAGCGCTATATTTATACGCTTGAGTTCCAAAGTGAGTAGGTGGAGTTTGGGTTTTGAGTTTGATTGACAGGGGTATGAGTCCGTATGAACTGAGTGTGCAATGCATGCGATCGCCGGGAATGTATGGAAACCATGGTGTAATAGTGCAGTAAGTTCCCTCATACAATCGTATGGGTAATACTACATTCGATGATGTGTTTTTCATTAACACAAAATATATAGTAAACTATATACTTTACTATATTGAAATCCCAGATTTTTTTGTTTGGATTATTGCGCCACAAATGATTTTAATTTCGTTGTTTCTCTAAGGTGATAAAGTTCGCATTTTCCGAACAATATCCTATGTTGATGACTCCGAATCTGTTGTGTTTAGAATGTGAATATGAAAGCTTTGCCGCACTAAAAGTACCTTACCGTGCAGAATGTGGGCTAATTTTAGCAAGCAGTGTACGCTATCTAGATTTTCCCGGCTTGTACTTCACGTGCATTCTATAACGAAGAACATCTATGCATTCAGGTGGATTTAGGAGAAATGGGGACCGTCACAGGCACCATCATCCAGGGTCGCTATAGTCTCGATCAGTGGGTGACCTCCTACAAACTACAGTACAGTGTAGATGGTCTTAGTTGGATCACGTATGCAAGACGCGATGGCTCCGAAGAGGTAGGTTATATGCAAAGATATCCCCTTTTTTCTAGATCAAACAGAGAAAATAATCCGTCCTAAACCGTTACGAAAAAGAACCATATCGGCTGTTAGCTACTATTTGCCTCAATAACTGTATCGGCTTTCAGCTAATATATTCTGACAAGAATAAAAAAATAATAATAAAAAAACTGCTATTATTTATCGTGGTTGTGATGTCTAGGTGTTTCCAGGCAACACCGACAGGAACACCCCTGTAACTAACCTGCTGGACAGTCCCATTAATGCCCAGTACGTGCGTTTCCTGCCTCAATCCTGGCAGAACCATATGAGTATGAGGGTGGAGGTTCTAGGCTGCAGCGTCAACGGTGGGTTTCTGTTGAATAGTTGATAGTCGTTGCATTGGCACTTGACTCATTGAGTTTTTTTACCTTCGCCAGGGAAGTTATGTTTTCCATAGCGTTTGTATGTGTGTGTGTGTGTGTGTTTGTGTATGAGTGTGTGTGTATGTGTGTGTGTGTGTGTGTGTATGTGTGTGTATGTGTGTGTGAGTGTGCGAAGCTACAGATGGATTGTCATGAAACTTAGCTAGGTAAGTGAGTGGGTGTTGATGAGACCTAAAAATGATTTTAACCCCCTGGTGGATCGCTATGGTACTGCAGCAGAACTTTCGGTTTTGATATCTCGTGATCTGGACATGGTAGGGTAACGAATTTTGGATGGTAGATAGCTCTTTGGCTAAGAAAGAAGTGACATTCCTTTGACCCCCCCCCCTAACGGCTTATTCTGGAACTGCAGGACCGTTTCTAAAAGAATCTTCGAGGGGGATAACTAAAAAAACCGGTCGACGGATTATCGTGATTTTTGGTATGTAGGTAGCTTAACCCTAC